CTGGAAGCAGGTGAGGGGTATGATGTGCTGTGGATGTGGGGAAAGGTGGTGCCACCCTGGAGATTCTGTTGTTCGTGTGGTGCAGGGAATGCCTGGATTATGGGGAGAGAGGAGGTTGGGAAGTGTTTCAACCCATTCTTTAAAGAAATTAGGTTTTTGATCAGTTTACTGGTGTTCCCTAAGGAAGTGCTGAGGGACTGCTGGATTTTAATGTTCTGGATGACTTGCCTGCAGGACACTCATGTCTCCAGTGAATGTGTTGGCTCAGACACATCTGTCCATGTGTGCCCATGTGGAGGAGAGGGCCCTGCATGGAATGAGTGTGTGGAGGAGGGAGGTGTCATAGTCTTGAGCTTGCTCTGATCAAACTTGCTTGGTTTTCCTTCTTTGCCTGTGTCCTTGAGCTTGTGGAGCCTTTAGCAGTGGTTGGGAAGGAGCAGGTCATCCCTGTCTGCCAGTGGCAGGATCCCTGGTGCTGCTGGAGCTCCCATGGGATTGTGATCCTTCGGGTGGTTTGCTGGGAGCCTCACCACCGTCCCACTGGGATGCTCATCCTCAGAGCTTCCAGCTGCTGCTGGAAGGATGCTGTCTCCCTCCCTGTGGCCGTACAGGATCGTCCTCAGCATGCAGAGCTGTTGGATCTGTGTGTGGCCACGTTGGGATTGAACCCAAGGAGCAGTTGGCACCTTGGTGTGTGTGAGCTCCTTTCGAGGCACCCCCTGGGCACACAGGGCTGCAGTTCCTCCTGGACCCACAGAGTGTCTCAGGGGATTATCATCCCATATCACCCCATTCTTCCTCCTCTCATCAGACCCCTCTGTGATGCCAGGGCAGCTGCCTCCAGCACCAGGTGCTGCCCGAATCCATGGCTCTTCCAGCAGGTCCCACCTGATCGCTCCAGCAGGTCCCGTGTTTTGGGGCCCTCTGTGGTGGTGAGAGGGAGCTCTGCAAGAGGTTGGGGTCCCCACCAGGGCCCCCCAGCTCAGGGCAGGGAAGAGGCTGCTCCTTAATCCCATCCCTCTGCTCTGGCATCCCGACGTCCTGCTGCCAACAGAGCTCCTGTTGTTTACCCAACTCGGAGGAATCGTTTTACAAGGCTCACAAATACCCTTTTCACCTTTCCCATCAGAAAACACCTCCTGAAACAATGAGGAAATTGGATGCTGCCACCTGATCTCTCCCAAGGAACCTGCGGGGCCGGAGCTGGGGCTGGGGGCCGTGGTGGGAATGCCTGGGATGCTCCTCTGGGGCCAGCACAGCTCTGCGGGTGGGCAGCTCTGAGTGCCACCCAAAAATCACCTCCAGGGGCTCTGAGGGATGGAGCTGCTGGTAGCAGAGTGGAGGCCAGTGCTCCCCACCTGCTCAGCTGGCAGAAAAATGTGTGTTTGAAACTTTACTGGCTGCAGTTAGTCATTCCCAACCCCTTGGCCACCGGGAGCAGGGATGCTGGGATGTTACCTGTGAGCTGGTGGTGGGACCAGGCATTGAATCCTGGGATGGTTTGGGTTGGAAAGGGCCTTAAAGCTCATCCAATCCCACCCCCTGCTACAGGCAGGGATACCTGACACTAGTCCAGGTTGCTTCAAGGCTCATCCATCCTGTCCTGGAACACTTCCAGGGATGGGGCAGAAACACAGCTGGAAGGACCATCCTCCTCCCTAGTGGTGGGTGAGGCAGAGGAGGATGATAGGAGGTGGAAGGTTTGTTTGAGACATTAAGGCATTCATTGAGACATGAAAGGCATTAAGGTTATGTTGTATTTTAGTTTTCCTTCTTTTTTTCCCCCTCCCCACCTTAAAACAGGGAAAGCAAACTGTATTTCATGGAGGAAGAGCTGATTGCCCCCTCCTCCCTCCCTGGAATCACGTCGGTGCTCTGAGGGCATGATGCATTTCCCTACTAATTTAGAAGTTGCTCTGCTCATTCCTCACGGTTAAGATAAATCCGAAGATGTGTCCTTGTGAAAGCAAGTCAAGAGTGTAATTCCTTCTTGCCTTCAGCCATCCCTCTGAACTAAAATTCCTCATCCCCAGAACTGGCAGAAATTATGTGTCCAGGCAACACACAACAATTTTTGGTTGGTTTTCTTTCCCTCCTCTCCTGTTCACGTGATAAATGTTGCCTTTCACTGTCTGTATTTTAAAGGAGAATTTCCTGGAGAACCTGCCTCTTCCATGATGGGAGTTGTGGTTGGTTTTCCTTAGGACAGCCATCCGTTTTTGGGGGAGGGAAGTCTCCATGTGTGATTGAGAGCTGAAGAGCTGTGCGAGGGGTCTGAGGTGCATGCACAGGGATTTATCTCTGCTGCCCGACTGGGAACAGCTCGGCTTTTGGGGAGGAGAGGGGACACTGAGGGGAAAACGGAGGAGTAAAACTCATGGAGAT